GACACCTTGGATAATGCTAATGTCGACAGTACTGTAACTTTCAAGCTTCATAACTCAAGATTTACTTAACCAAAATATATTTTATCTATGTGTTTTGGAAAGCTTTCGAAATAAGCTACAAGAATGAAAAATAGGGAGTTCCGTTTAAAAAATTCAAAGTGACCTTGTCCTGACCCCGACGACGCCACTCAGGGTCAAATCAATGTTATCATCTTATATCCCCCTCGAAGTCCCAAAACTTTTGTTTGAAACATTTTTCTCTCAAACCTTGCAATTTCCAAATATTTAACTGTCAAATATAAAATAGGACATTCTGTATATATTTTTTCATGTTATTGTTGCATAATATTATTGTGGAATGCTCTTAAAATATTCCAATTTTTATTAATATATTCTATGCATTATATTCATTTTTTGGTAGTTAGTTATTAATTTTTTTATAATGTAAAATTGATAAAGTTTGGCTAAACATTAAAGAGCTTATATTTTGTATTTTAGTAAGGTATCCGCAGTATCAGGCGATGCTCGCCGCGCTTTGGACATTTGTCGCCGAGTGGCAGAAATTACTGAAACACATAATAATACTACAGTAAGCGTACAAGACGTAAATGAAGCTTTGTCGGAGATGATAATAAATCCAAAAGTTCAAGCGATAAAACATTGCTCAAGATTTGAGCAAATATTCTTGCAAGCTGTATGTGTGGAAGTCAAACGAATTGGTGTGGAAGAAGTTTGTTTCATAAATGTTTATAGACAATTTGAATCTCTATGTTCCTTTGACGGTTTGTATAGAACTAACTTATTAGTTAGAGAATGTGTAGTAAAAGATATGTATAAAAGAAATTTGATATTGCAATTTCTGTTTCTAGGTTACAAAACACCCAATATTACTCAGACGCTTGATATTTGTGCAAAGTTAGGTGATTATAGATTGTTAATATGCGAATATTCAGGTAGTGATATCCATCAAAAAATTTTATTGAATATTTCAAAAGATGAGATGCATTATGCGTTACAAAAAATTGATTTTGATTGAAGTATGCAAAATATGAATGAATATCCATCATCTTTTATTAATGTAATTTATTTCATTAGTTTAATTTATTATGCAAAAAACGTATGTGTGTGCTTTTTTTTTATGAATTACGACATTACAATTTACTTTAGCTTGCACAAATATATATTTTTTAAATATTGTAATAAACATTAAAATATAAATACAATTTCCAATGATTTGATTTTTATTTCTATCGACATATCATGTTGCGGTAAAATCGCATCTATTTCTAAACGAATATGTTCAGAAGTATATATATATGTTGAACTTATGTAGCAATGAGTCAATCTATTATTGGAAAAATTACACAACTCAAGTTCACGGATGAACCCTTTCTCTCATTCATTAATCTGCTGAGTAACAGTATTTTGCTTCTTGTAATATGTTGCAAAAATTTTATTTTTTAAGTCTTATTATTAGTAAGTGAGTTATTGATATTATTTATAATACATATAAAGAAATATAGAGATAATGAGTAGTGACGATATCGACGAAAATATTCTTTCATTATATAATGCTCAGAAGTGGGAAGAGATTGCATCTTTATCTTCCGCAAGTGACAATTTTAAGTCTAGTAGATTATCATGGGTATTGCCCGATATAAATGATTTGTATTGGATAAACGATGTTACACGAAAGTATAATTTATCTGGAATTGCAAGCATTGGTTGTGGTTGTGGATTATTAGAGTGGTTACTACAAAAATGTTCAGGTAAATCTTAAAGATAATAAATATAAATAATTATGTATTGGGGATGCGGTACAATAAATTAACTATATATATATATATATATATATA